GTTTGTTAGCCATCTGTATGTCTTCCTTGGAGAAATGTCTGTTCAGTTCTTTGGCCCATTTTTTGATTGGGTCATTTATTTTTCTGGAGTTGAGCTGGAGGAGTTGCTTGTATATTTTTGAGATTAATCCTTTGTCTGTTGCTTCGTTTGCTATTATTTTCTCCCAATCTGAGGGCTGTCTTTTCACCTTGCTTATAGTTTCCTTTGTTGTGCAAAAGCTTTTAAGTTTCATTAGGTCCCATTTGTTTATTTTTGATTTTATTTCTAAAATTCTGGGATGTGGGTCATAGAGGACCCTGCTGTGATTTATGTCGGAGAGAGAACAGACCATCTTATCCACTTGATTATTAAATCCTCTGCTGAGGTCACCCTTTAGTGAGCAATTACACAGCACAGAAATAACTTCAAATGTTTTGCCCAGAGGAGCCCATCCACACTTCTCTTTCCCACATTTCACTGCCACCAGATTTCCAATCATCTTCCTTCCACCATCATTCTACGTCTTAATATCCATTCCCATACTTGTTCCCTGGATTTCTGTCTGTACAAATTAGAAAACTCAAGCAGTTCTTTTCGAGTGTAGCACACCTCCTCTCAGGTCACACTTTGAACTTTACCTTTAGGAGTCTGCTGGGACTTGAGTCTATTAGTGATGGGCCCAGAAATAAAAAGGGTTAGCAGGGACAGTTTCTGAAGAGTCACATGGCCTCTGCCTCAGGGGAGATCATTATGATTTTCAGGCAATGCAGTGCCTATCCCATCAAATGGAGGTGGAAATACTGCCTCTGGATGGGGATGCCACTTCCACTGGTAAAGCAGACTCTAAACTTAGGAGTTCAATGGCCCCAGCATCATCAGGGTCTTCCCAATGTCTCCAAACCAACTTACAAGATGCTATTCTTTCCCAATCTATGCCCTCACTTTAAAAGTATTTTAACACTATTTATTCAGCTGAGAATTTTCCAGATCTTTAGGTTCTGCTTCAGAAATTCCATCTTTTAAGTCATTTCTCTTTTCTTGCACTTCATTATCATCAGCTGGAAGGAGCAAAGCCACATCTTCAATTTCATTGCTCCAAAGTTCTACTTTCCACAAAACATTAGAACACAAACACAATTTAGCCAAGTTCTTTGCCACTTATAAAAAGAATGACCCTTCCTCCGACTTCCAATAATATGTTCATTTCCAGCTCAGGATGAACCAGAATGGTCTTTACTATTCATATTTCTACCAACATTTTGTTCACAATTTATTTTCCAAGAAGACTTGAGTTTTTCATGTCAGCTCTCCTTTTCTGAGGTTTCACCAGAATCACCCTTATCATTCATTATTCTTTGCATACATGTCAAAACTCTTCAGCTTTTATCCACTCACTGTTCAGTTCCAGAGCAGCTTCCATGTTTTTAGATATTTGTTAGATTAGCATCCATTTCTGGTACAAATTTGTCCTATTTAGCTTGGGCTCCTATAACACAGAATCACAGACTGGGTAGCTTATAAACATATTTATTTCTCACAAGCTTGGAGGCCAAAGTCTGAGATTAGGGTGCTAGCATAGTTTTGGTGACTATCTTCTCGTGACTTTGTTTTAGTGAACATTTAGTTTTAGTGAACATTTCCAGATTGAAAACTGTCATCTTCTTGTCCTGTCATCCTCATATGACAGGACAGGGTGACAGAACTCACTGGAGCCCCTTTTTTAAAAGCACTAATCTCATTTAGGAGGGCTCTATCCTCATGACCTAATTATCTTGAGAGGCCCCATCTCAATACCATCACAGTGGGGCTTAGGATGTCAACACATTTTGAGGAGACACATTGAGTCCATTGCAAGGCTCAAATGGTTTCACTGGAAAATTATACCATTCAAAGATTAATTAACACTAATTCTACACTACCTCTTCAAGAAATTAAAAGGAGGCAATACTTCCAAACTCCTTATATGAGGCCACCATCAACCTGATACCAAATGAGACAAAAAACAGAACAAAATTATAGACCAGTATCCTTCATGTAGACACAAAAATCCTCAAGAAAATATTAGTAAATCATAGCAATCATAGCAAATCCAGCTATATATATATATATGTGTGTGTGTGTGTGTGTGTGTGTGTATATTTAAAGTATACACTATAGACAAATGAAGTTTACTACAGTGATATAAGATTTAATCAATATTTGAAAATCTATCATATTAACAGAGTAAAAAAAACCACATTATATTCATTGTATCAATTGGTGCATATTTCAAGTAGAATTTCAAGGAAGTACAGAGGATTCATGACAGTGTTTACAGGTAGCAAAGGGTTCTCAAAATTACAATGGGCTTGAGAGGGGAGGAACAATCAAGTATGCGGGGTTGTCATAAAAATATGGCTCCAGGGTAAAGATAAAGCCAACTTTCATCCTTTCTGTGGAACAGCAGGGTTTCTAAGAATTTTAAAGTCATTTTCCCACAGAAGCCTCAAAGGAAACCCAATACAGAGAGAACCTGTTGATCTTCTGTCTAACTGAATGAACCCTAATAAAAATCATAGAAAATACAATCTTAAAGAGAATTGTACTTGATGCACTGCAAGCTTGAGCTTAATGGGAAACAGTATAAAATTTAAAAAAGGCCTTTGGATGCCAAAACATCTACAGGCCAAAAGCAGTCTGAGAAAACGACTCAGCTGTAAACACAGGCTACATTTTATGAAGAGGGGGGAAAAAAAAAGGTCCAGCATGACTCAGGGTAGAACCAAGAAGGCCTCAGTAAACAAACATGCTACTCGACAGCAGAAACACACTTAAATTTGGGTTCTGTATTATGTAGTAATGCAACCCACTGACGTTCACAGCTTCCCAACTACAGCAGAGAAACGCTGCGAGAAATTGAGATGTTAATTCTGTTTTTGAATGAAGTATTCAAAACCTCATGTGTATTTTACACTTAAGACCATTTTAATTTGCACTAACCACCATCCCAGTTCTCAGTAGCTCAGTTTTAAGTGCTCAACATGCTGCTAGCATCTACTTTATTAGATACTACAGTTCTATTCCATTGATTACACAAATCGCTGCAAATGCTCTTTTTACTCACTCCTGAAATATATGAAGTACTATGGGAACAGGTACTACAAGAGATGTAGCATTAGTTGCACTAGAGAAAATCTGGATCCTCAATCTTAATTTCCCAAATACCTTACAGAACATTTACTATCCCTATGTGTAGAACTTTAGTTACATCCGTAAGTTCTGATAGGTAGCCATTTACAAACACCATTCACTTAAAGCTGGCTATAGTTTCATAGATGCTTTATGATTTTAAAAGTGATGGAAAATTTCAAATACATGAAAATAGAGAAAATAGTAAAAACAAAATAAGCAAAAACCATGCAACTGATTTATCTTACCATGACTTAAACAAGTTATCTATCCTCACTTTTCTTTTGCATGAGCATTTTAACAGTAATTCTACATATACTGTTTATGTGTATAAACTTGCTAATTTATCTCCAAGACACTTTTACATAAACATAATGCTATTAGCACATCTAACAAGAACATAATTTCTTAATATTATCTAATACTGTCAACAGTCCCATTTCCCCAACTGTCATAAAAATGTCTTTTGTTTGTTTAACCTGGGATCTAAATGAAAAACACTAATTCATTGCATTTGATTGATACATCTCTAAAGACTTCGTTAACATCTGAGAGTTCCACCTCCCTTTTTTCAATCCATTTTATTGGGTGAGAAGCTTATAGTCATTACTCTCATAGAATTACCCACATTTTATTGGTCTGCTTCCTGTTATATCATGTAATTTGTTCTTCTGTTTCCTGAATTTTCTTTAAAGTGGGAGTTAGATCTTGATGCTTAATTAGATTCAGGTTCAATATTTTTGGCAATGGTATGTCTTATTGTATCATACAAGGAGGCATAAAATGTTTTGTCCTATTTTTGATGAGATTAAAGTTGATCAGTGGGTCAGATGTTGTCAACCTGATCTATCCACTGGGAAGTTCATATAGACCATTCACCTAAAGGTCTTAACACTTCTACTGAGAACTGTGCTTAGATCCATTATTTCATTATGTCCTACAAATTCTCTAATAAAGAACTTTACCTCATCAACATCTAGTTGCCTTAAGCTATAGTTTATACAGGAAATGCAGGCTAAATCATTCCTCCTTCCTTCTGTTTATCAATGTCCAGAATGAGTTGGTGCCCTGGCAACCTCCAAAGGTTGGTATGTACAGACGAAAGAAAAGAGGTGGTAATAAGTAAGATCAAAAGCTTTTTCACATTCGCTCTTTAAGAGAGTTTCTTTCTATGAATTTCTATCAATTTCCAAAAGTTTAACATGGTTTGAGTGGTGATAAAACACTGCTATGTATTCATTAAATTAGCCTACTCTTTTAAAACCTCTTGTTTTAACTTTGAGCATGAAGCAAAAGGGATTTCTACATTCAAACACTTCTCCTCCAGAATTTCTTTTCTAATGCTCCTTAACACAAAATTCACAGTGGGTGACTTTCTTATAACTATTTAGTGACATTATGAACTCGCTGATGGTAAGTAAGATGTGAATGCTGCCTAAATGCCTTCTTACATTCCTTACATTTGTATGGTTTCTCACCAGAATGAATTCTCTGATGTTGGATAAGAGATGAATGAAGTCTAAAGGCTTTCCCACATTCCTTACAGTCATAGGGTTTCTCACCAGTATGAATACTCTGATGTTGAGTAAGTTGGGAGAGCAATCTAAAATTCTTCTCACATTCCTTACACTTATAAGGTTTCTCACCAAAATGAATACTCTGATGTTGAGTAAGTTGTGAGAACAGTCTGAAGGCCTTCCCACATTCCTTACAATCATAAGGTTTCTCTCCAATATGAATACCCTGATGTGAAATAAGTTCTGAGTAACGACGAAAGAACTTCTGACATTCCTTACATTCATAAGGTTTCTCACCAGTATGAATTCTCTGATGGAGAGTTAGATGATAGGCACGACTAAAGGTCTTCCCACATTCCTTACAATCATAGGGTTTCTCGCCAGTATGAATTCTCTGATGAAGAGTAAGTTGTTGCCGCACTCTAAAGGCCTTCCCACATTCCTTACAGTCATAGGGTTTCTCACCAGTATGAAGTTTGTGATGTACTCGAAGGCCTGTACTACAAAGAAAAGCTTGCCCACATTCCTTGCATTCATAGCATTTCTCAGCAATATTAAGTCTTTGATGTCGAGTAAGGTGTGCATATTGTCTAAAGGTCTTCCCACATTCCTTACATTCATAGGGTTTCTCACCAGTATGAATCCTTTGATGGAGATTAAGTTGTCCTCGCACCCTAAAGGCCTTCCCACATTCCTTACAGTCATAGGGCTTCTCACCAACATGAATTCTCTGATGTACACGAAGATCTGCACCACATGTGAAGATCTTTCCACATCTTTTACATTCAAGGAGTTTGTCAGAAGCATGAATTCTCTGATGTCGACTAAGGTGGGCACACTGTCTAAAAGCTTTTCCACATTCTTTACACTCATAGGGTTTCTCGCCCGTATGAATTCTCTGATGGAAAGTAAGTTGCTGGCGTACTCTAAAAGCCTTCCCACAGTCCCCACATTCATAGGGCTTCTCTCTACTGTGAATTCTTGGATACAGAGTAAGAGATGTGCATTTTCTGTTCTTGGGCATTTTTTCAGAGGTGGTTTTTTTCACTTGCCTGAAGTATGCCTCGTGAGGACCCTCTTGTCCCTCAAACTTTTTATATTCACAATCTTTCCTGAAAAAAGAGTCTTCAAGGCCACAACCTCTAATTCTTTCCATTATCTCCCACTGAGAGAAACTCATTTCACAAATATCCTTTACTTGAAGTAACTTTTTAGTGTCACATCTGGATTCCAAATCTGAAAGAAAAGAAGATAAAACACATGCTATTTTCTTCTAGAAAAAGTAAACAAAGAAGCAAATAAAAACTTTATAATAGGAAAAAAGAAAATAAAGTCCAGCTGAAATAAATGTGCTTAAAAGTACTTTAAAAACTAACATAGCTTGAGAAAAGCTAAGAATAAAGAAAATGATGAATTAAGACCAGATAATTGAGAAGAAAATCAAAGTCTGAGATCTCTACCTAAACTTTTTAATGATTTCCTTTTTAGTAAGAATAAAGTACAAACACTTTATTATGAATAACACAGCCTTTGTTTACCAAAAGATGTCATTTCAACCTGTAGACCCCTTTACTCCCTATGTCTGTCACACTTGCCTCCTTTCAGCTACTAAAGTATGTCACAATCTTTCCATTTTTTAGAGCTTTTTACTGGCTATTAAATCTCCCAGGAATGCTGATGGGTTCTCCACATGTTTGGGTTCTTTTCATCCTTTAGATATCATGATAAAAATCAGAAAAACTATCTGTGCTGACTTCATCTAAATTATATCCTTCATTTTCTATCCCAATAATTTGTTCCCTGCTTCTTAGCACTTTTTTCAATTCTGTTGTCATATATTCATTAATTTTCCAAGTTTTTATTCTGTGTTCTTACCTTAACAATTTCCCAAGAGAAGAAAAAATCTTTCACTTATCACTGAATAACAAATACATAGCACAGAGAAACTATTTATTATTAAGTTTTCATAATTAGTTAACAGTAAAAATACATATGTTTCCTTGCCTCCAATCTTACACCTTTTTTTTAGCACTTTCTATAGAGATGGGAGACAAAAGCACACCAATGCTATCTCAATCAAATACATAAATGGAAAAATTTCTTTACATCTGCTCATCCCTCCAATGGCCTCTTTACTTTCATGTGCAGATATCTTCACTTCAGCTCACTGTCTACATAGCTGTAAGTGAACCTCACTTTTGCAACCAAGGTAATGAAAGGTTCTACTTATTTATCTTCAAGTTTAGTAACTATACACATGAATATTACAAACATGCAGCTCATTTTGTTTCTTCATACCCTTTCCTATATTCTCCCTAAAGTCATCACAGCCAGTGCCATTTAGTTACTGTCTAGAAAGTATATTAGTGATTTTTTCAGTCATAGCAACAGGTTTATAAAACAGTAACATGCTAGTAAAATTCTGAGCAAAAAATGTATTTTTTTAGAACATCTACAACATTATTTTTAATATGCATGAACTAGAAAGAATCCAAGTATTCATTAACAGAAGAATGACTGAGAAAAGTTATATATATAGATATGGATACAACACAATAAGAACAAACTGTAACAGCAATAAGAATGAATAATCTACAAGTACACACAACAATATGGATCATTCTCACTAACATAAGGGTGAGCAAACAAAGCCAGGCATAAAATAATATATATTACTCCATTTTTATAAAGCTCATAAACACTAAAACTAATCTATGGACTTATTAACGGCTATTAGTTAATTTTGATAGGGAGGAATGACTGGAGAGAACTAGAGAGGAGCTTCTGATATCCTACTAAAACTATTTCTGAATCAGTATACTGATTAGCTGGGTATAATTACTTTGTGAAAATTCAGTGAGCAGCATATTATGATTTCTGTTGTTTGGATCTCTTTCAAAAAGTTTACTTTAAAAGGATATAATAAAAAGATGTTAAAAGGCAACAATGATTTAAATACTGTAGAAAATCTGTGAGCAGAGACAAATAAGTGAATGCCACAGAAGACACTCTGATGAAATCAGTATCTTTCTGCCTCCTTCCGTCTCCCATCCCTCTGTCCCTTCCTTCTTCCCTTACTCTTCCTCTTTCCTTTCTCTTTCTCTCTCCCCCATCTTCCCTTCCTTCCCTTCCTCTTTCCTTTTCTTTCTCTCTCTCTCTCCCTATCTTCCCTATTCAAGAAAGCAATGTAAAACTAATGTAATTTTGTAAAAATTTCTGGGAAAAAAAAATTTAACACCTCATTACGGCAAATAAGTTATAAATGATATATAAAATGAACAGTAATTAGCTAGTCATAACAGTAGTAAATAACTTGGTAACTACAAAGGCATGACAGCTGTTATTAAGATGGTGATTTCAAAGAATTTACTTGTAAATTAAAAATCAATGATTTAAAGGAAAATAGTAGTCAAAATAAACACTGAAGGCCCAAACATTGGGAAGAAAAGTGAGAAAGTGTATACAAAACAAAAGCTCATACAAACTGGTATAAGAAAATTAAACAAAAAAAAAAAAAAAGAAGAAAATTAAACAATGGAAAAAGTAAGAGAATAAAGGAAGTAAGCAGACAATGCATAAAATAAAAATATAAACACACTGAGGACAAAATGTCCATATTCACTCATTTAAAGGAAAAAAAAGTAGAAGTTACACAATACTTACCCTATAGAATTTGAAAGTTTTAAAGAACAAACAAAACATTCCCAGTGTGGATATAGTGAACCTGAGAACTTTTTTAAAATTAATTTATTTTTAAATTGAAGGAAATTGCTTTACAGAATTTTGTTGTTTTCTACCAAACATCAACATGAATCAGCCATAGATGTACATATGTCCCCTCCCTCTTGAACTTCCCTCCCACCTCCCTCCCCATCCCACCCCTCTAGGTTGATACAGAGCCCCTATTTGAGTTCCCTGAGACATAAAGCAAATTTCCATTGGCTATCTATTTTACATATGGTAATATAAGTTTCCATGTTACTCTCTCCTAACATCTCACCCTCTCCTCCCTTCTCCCTGTGCCCATAAGTCAGTTCTCTGTCTGTTTCTCCATTGTTGTCTTGCAAATAAATTCATCAGTATCATCTTTCTAGATTTTATATATATGCGTTAGTATACGATATTTATCTTTCTCTCTCTGACTTACTTCACTCTGTATAATAGGCTCTAGGTTCATCCACCTCATTAGAACTGACTTAAATATGTTCCTTTTTATGGCTGAGTGTAATATTCCATTGTGTATATGTACCACAACTTCTTTATCCAATCATCTGTCAATGGACATCTAGGTTGCTTCCATGTTCTAGCTATTGTAAACAGTGCTGCAATGAACATTGGGGTGCATGAATCTTTTTCATTTTGGGTTTCCTCAGAGTATATGCCTAGGAGTGGGATTGCTGGGTCATAACCGAGACTTTTATATGGCTTCCCTATCTGACATGAGACATTAAGACTTTTGCATGCTGAATATTCACATCTAGGAGACTATACTACAGTTGACCCTTGAACATTGGCATAATAGGGGCCAATACCACCCTTTCATTGAAAATCTGTGTATAACTTTACAGTTGGTCCTCCATTCCTGCAGTTCCATATAAACAGATTCAACCAACCTCAGGTCATATAGTACTGTGCATGTGTGCTAAGTCACTTCAGTCATGTTCAATTCTTTGTGTCCCTGTGGACTGTAGCCTGCCAGGCTTTTCTGTCTATTCTCCAGGCAAGAGTACTGGAGTAGTGTGCCATGTCCTCCTCCAGGGGATCTTTCTGACCCAGGGATCAAACCCACATCTCTTACACCTACACTGGCAGGTGGGTTCTTTACCATTAGCATCACCTGGGAAGCCCACAATACTGTAGTACACATTTTTTTTTTAAACCCATGTATAAATGGACCCATGCAGTTTAAACTCATGTTGTTCAAGGGTCAACTGTATAAACAACTGAACTGTAATCACAATTTCTGTAAAAAGTCAGCCATGATTTTTCCCAAATTCGTTTATGCCAGTTCTTTCCCCTTCAAGAAACTAAAAGACAGCCATTTCAGTCAATCAAAACTAGGTTCAGTGCTTTGCTATTTCTGACTACAGATGCACACTGCATTGTTTCAGAGTAGACAGTGAGAAAATAGTAAAGATTGATGGGAAACATAAAAATTCATGAAGGACTCTGCACACAGATTGCTTTATAAGTATCTTTAGATTCTTGTTCTACTTTAAATAAATTGAAACTGGAAATTATAGCCTATGCACTATACATGTGATTTAATCAAGAAAAAATTGGCTGGCCCAACCATGAAACAAAGGACAAACTAAACATCAAAAGACATATAAAAAATATTTTAACTACTCAAAATAAACCAAATACTAGTTTGTAGTCTATTGAATCAAAAGGCTTTATTCTAGTAAACGATACTAGTGCAAAAGCAAAATATTAGCCCATCTTATAGCAATGTAAAAGGAGAAATGTTATTTCCATTGGCAGGATACCAACTTTAATTAAAAAGAAAATAAGGAGCAAATTACCTGGTCATAAAGTTAATTTGTTTCCTGAGATGATGTCTTCAATAAGTTTGCTGATACAAGATGATATGAATGTAGAGTATTTATGACAGAAGCAGTTTTAGTCACATTAACACCAGGGTTAATGTATCCAGAGATCTGTAAATGTTAAAACCTTATAACCACAGAATTGTACTTCTGAAAGTCAAAACTGATTACATACTAAATAATCCATACTGAATTCCAAATAATTTTCACATTCTGCTAATTTTATTGCTAATTTCATCAAAGAATCAGAAGCAATGGAAAGAAAAATGTTATTCTCCCCTTTACCATGTTATCCAACCACTTAAACTCATATTCTTATCATATGCATTGGTTTTCCTTCATAAATTGGCTCCTACTTCTACTCATTTACTGAAAGTCACTGCTTACAAAAATCACCCTCTCTCGATGCCATCAGTTTTCCTCTTTGAAATAATTCTCTTCAGACTACATACAAGTCCTAATACCTCACATCTTAAGATACTTTCCCTGTACCCCATATGTCTGCTTTTATGGCAAAATTCCTCTTAAGTGTTATATACATTTATTTTCACCACTGTCTAACTTTTCCTTTTATCCCCCTATTAACTTTAAAAGAAACCAAAATTTTATTACAGAGTATTTCTAACATACACAAAAGTAGAAGAGTAATATTAAATGTACAAGTTATCTATGGACCAGCCTTAACAACATCAACCAAGCCCAATACTGACCTATGCAGACCCTTATCCACTCTCCTCAGATTGTCTGAAGCAAGTCCCATAATATATTTTGTAATCACTTCAGGATTTATCTCTAAAAGGATTTAAAAAATAATTGTAATACCATTACCCAAACCTGAAAAAACGAACAGTAACTTTGTCATTGTTGTTGTTCAGTCGCTAAACTGTGTCCAACTCTTTGCGACCCCATGAACTATAGCACACCAGGCTTCCCTGTCCTTCACCATCTCCCAGAGTTTACTCAAACTCATGTCCATTGAGTCAGTGATGCCATCCAGCCATCTCATGCTCTTCTGCCTCCTTCTCCTCCTACCTTCAGTCTTTCCCAGCATCAGGGTCTTTTCCAATGAGTTTGTTCTTTGCCTCGGGAGGTCAAAGTACTGGAGCTTCAGCTTCAGCATCAGCCCTTCCAATGAATATTCAGGGTTGATTTCCTTTAGGACTGGCTGGTTGGATCTCCCTGCTGTCCAAGGGACTCTGAAGAGTCTTCCCCAGCACCACAGTTCAAAAGCATCAATTCTCTGGCCCTCAGCTTTCTTTAAAGTCCAACTCTCACATCCATCCATGACTCCTGGAAAAACCATAGCTTTGACTAGACAGACCTTTGTTGGCAAAGTAATGTCTCTGTTTTCTAATAGGCTGTCTAGGTTGGTCATAGCTTTCCTTCCAAGGAGCAAGTATCTTTTAATTTCATGGCTGCAGTTACAATCAGCAGTGATTTTGGAGCTCAAGAAAATAAAGTCTGTCACTGTTTCCCTTGTTTCCCCATCTATTTGTCATGATGTGATGGGACTGGATCTTAGTTTTCCTGAATGTTGAGTTTTAAGCCAGTTTTTTCACTCTCCTCTTTTACCTTCATCAAGAGGCTCTTTAGTTCCTCTTCACTTTGACCCTATAGCATTTCTCATATTCTGACTGTATTCCCAAGATGTAGTATAACATGCTTCTCTATCTTCCTCCAAGAAATTAGTGGTTGGCTAATTTAGAAGCTCCATCAGACTTAGGCCCACTTCATAGGTGATACTGTATTCTTTAATTTGAAGAAATACAATCTGACTGTCTCTATTTCTGTGATGTTATCAGCAGTGATGTTCAGTGTCTAGATCCAATAGCTCACTACAGGTTCCAAATTGATAATATTCTAAGCCTATAATCGTTCATTTATTCACTGAATACTTTAAGAAAAACATGAAAAAAAAAAGAAAGAAAAACATGGGCTTCCCCAGTGGCTCAGCTGGGTAAAGAATCTGCCTGCTAATGCAGGAGACATGAGTTTGATCCCTGGTTTCAGAAGATCCCACATGCCACAGAGCAACTAAGCCTGGGTGCCACGATCACTCAGCCTGTGCACTAGAGCCCAAAAGCCACAACTACTGAGCCCACACGCCACAACTACTAAAGCCTGCTTGCTTAGAGTCCGTGCTCTGCAACAAGAGAAGCCAGGTCAATGAGAAGCCCATGCACCGCAATGAAGAGTAGTTCCCACTCACTGCAAGTAAAGGAAACCTGCATGCAGCAATGAAGACCCAGCACAGCCAATTGGGGGAAAAAGAATTTACAGAATTAAGTATATTTTATGTGGTTGTAATACATTTCAGTTATGTATATAGATGCTTAAATGATTCCATCTTTTACAGGTTGAAGAACCTCTGCCAACTGGTTCCTCTTCCCTGACTACCCTATCTAAATTACCCCATTAGCCCATCATAATTCCCCATATTCTTACCTCCTTACTCTTCTTAACAATATTTAATCACTTCATGATACTAATCCATTTGTTTACCATACGATTTCCCTACTACAATGTAAACGCCATGAAAAGAAGGCAATGAAGAAATATATACCTAAGAGGCAAAATACAAAAATGAGCTAAGTAGAAATTAGATGCAAAATACAAGTAAAATGGTGGTCACTGGGGAAGAAAGCCTTCCCCCATTGAAATGAGAAGGAAATAGGACAGTGGAGAAAGAAGAGATAAGTGGAAGTAGAGATGAAATTTCTTTGGCTGTCCATGCCGAGATCTAAGTTTTCTTCTCAGGTGTCACGTCTCTCCTTCATAATCAACATCTAAGGAGTGTGTTTCTTCCCAACCTGCAGGAATATGCTGTGCCACAGTAGCTTACCCTCCCCGATAAGCACTTACTCACCTAGTCTCCATCTTCTTTTCTCATCCCTCACAACCATCCAGGGTTCCTTCCCTTGCTCTAACAGAGTAATTACATCTGGCTTAGAAATGGAACATCCTCCTTGGGAAAAAACCACAATAGAACATAATAAAGAAAAGTATAAAATTGACCAAGGCTTCAGAACAAAGAAGAGTAATTGGACAGAAAAACATATTAGAGTTACTTGAGGATCACAAGAACAGAGAGAGAGGAATATTGTCTTATTGTAATTGCCAATTCATACAGGCTTTGTCTCTAGAAGTGATCGTTGAGAGCAGTGGCTTCAAATCCTGCCTCTGTCACCTGAGTCACTTACAGGCTAAGTTTTTTCAGTTGGAAAAATAATAATATATACTCACAAGTAAGTAATAATATATTAAATAATATATTAAAATATATGAAATAATAATGTATACCCTGGAGAAGGACATGGCAACCCACTCCAGTATTCTTGCCTAGAGAATCCTGTGGACAGAGGAGCCTGGTGGGCTGCTGTCCATAGGGTCGCACAGAGTCAGACACAACTGAAGTGACTTAGCATGCATGCATGCATTGGAGAAGCAAATGGCAACCCACTCCAGTATTCTTGCCTAGAGAATTCCAGGGACAGAGGAGCCTGGTGGGCTGTTGTCTATGGGGTCACACAGAGTCGGACACGACTGAAGTGACTTAGCAGGGTCAGCAATGTATACCCATAAGATTTCTGTGAGGTGTCACTTAATAAACCAAGTGCCTGGATGAGTGCCTAGTACATACTGAGCACTATACATGTTCATTAGGTGCTATTTTTGCTTTTATTTAAATATTTTGCTAGGAGGAAAATAATTTGTTTCTCACCAACATATTCATCCAATGTCAAACGCAAAGTTCATGTATTTTAAACTTTTAATCATAAAAGTTAATGTTTAAATCAATTAAAAAGATAATATGTTTGTTGTAGTAAATTGAATGTGTCCACTTGAATTTCAACAAATGACTGATTTAACCCAGTATCATACACTGTATCAATTTTTTCAATAGGTATATACAGCAGACACCTCTGTCTTCCTACTCACACTGCAGGTAAGTTAATAGATAATAGACCATATACCACAATATGAAAACAGACTTCTTTGAAAATGGTTTTGCTCTGTCTAAGAATTTATATCCAACTGTCATTAAAGAGAAGCAATCATATAATAGAAAAGGCAAAGGAAAATGTAAAGGTCAGTGATTTATGGGGGAAGCTAACGGTGCTATTTAATAGTTTAACAGCTGAAGGCACCTATTCTCAAACTACAAAACAGATAGTCGACTAGTTTTTAGACAGTCAGCCCTGAAATTCAGTCATGTGAATTTCTACATTATTTGACACAGATAACTTACCCAGTGACACCAAGTTGCTATAATTCTCTAATATCACATCTCTGTATAAATTCCTCTGATTTGAGTTCAGGCATTCCCACTCTTCCTGAGAAAAGTCCACAGTCACATCTCTGAACATCACCAAATCCTGAAATGACAAACCCATGCTTTATTTGTAAAATTATTTATTTCTGTATAGGGCCATATGCCACATATTGTCCCTGCGTATCCTTCCCTTTCCCTTCTTTTTTAAAATAATTCTTTCAGAAAGTAATTAACTCACAGCTTGTGCAAAAACAGGACATGGGTTGACTCTGGCTCACAAGCTGCAGTTTGCCTATTACTGCTATACACAAAGCTGCCTATATACTGTGGTATACCTAGTTTTACTTCCAGATATGCACAAGTAGTTAATCAGAGTTTCAGTAAATCGTAGCAATATTTTCTTAGATCAGTCTCCCACAGCAAAAGAAATAAAAGCAAAAATAAACAAATGGGACCTAATCAAACTTGAAAGCTTTTGCACAGTAAAGGAAACCATCAATCTTCTATTGATGGGCACAAAAGAAAACAAAATGAAAAGACAGCCTACTGAATGGGAGAAAATATTTGCAAATGATGTGACCAACAAGGGGTCAATATGCTAAAAATACCAAGAACTCATACAATTCAATACCAAAAAAAAAAAGGGGGGGGGGGCAGAAGACCTAAAAAGACATTTTTCCAAAGAAGACATTCACATGGCCAGGAGACACATGAAAAGATGCTCAACATCACTGATTATTAGAGAAATGCGAATCAAAATCACATGGTATTGCTTCACAACGGTGACAGTGGTTATCACCCAAAATCTACAAGTAATAAATGTGGAGAGGGTGTGGAGAAAAGGGAATCTTCCTACACTGTTGGTGGAAATGTAAATTGGTGCAGCCACTATGGAGAACAGAAGTTCCTTAAAAAACTAAAAATAGAGCTACCATATGGTCCAGTAATCCCACTTCTGGGTATATATCGAGAAAATAAAATTGGGCCTGGAAAAAATTCTTCAGTTTGATGCAAACTCTACTTTTTAAAACAGAGATCCAATTTCATCACTATATGTATCATTAGCATTTTCCCTTATTATAACAAACCCTTTATTGAATATTTTAAGCTTACTACACAATAGTCCATTTTATAGATATGTTGGCCTTAATGATTATATTTAGATATTTCTTTTTCTTTTTAGTTCTACCACTTTATTGCTACCAACACATCTCCCTCCACCCTCGTGCACATATGCTCAGTCATGTAATCCCACAGACTGCAGCCCGCCAGGCTCCTCTGTCCATGGACTTTTCCAGGCAAGAATACTGGAGTGGGTTGCCGTTTCCTTCTCCATAGATATTTATTTTTTTGTGTTGTTTTTTTCTGTAACAGACGTTTATTTATTTATTTTTGTTTTTTTCTTTTCTTTTTTTTCATTTATTTTTATTAGTTGGAGGTTAATTACTTTACAATATTGTAGTGGTTTTTGCCATACACTGACATGAATCAGCCATGGATTTACATGTGTTCCCCATCCTGTACCCCCCTCCCACATCCCTCCCCATCACTTTTAAATATGCTAAGTTATATTTACAATTTAGGTTATACAAAATTTCTAAAGCTGCAATGTCTAACTTGCTATCTTAGACACACATGGTTACTGAGCATTTGAACTGTAGCTAATAAAAATTTAGATGTGCTATAAAATACACACCAGATATTGAAGACTTTATGAAAAAAAAAGAATGCAATATATCTCAATAATTCTTATTTTGGTTACACTTTGAAATGATAATATTTTGCTATATTTGGTTAAATAAAACACTAAAATTACTTGTGCATTTTGTTTTTACTTTTTAAAATGTGACACTAAAATGTTTAAGATTACGTGCCTTGCATATTATTCTACACTTTTTATGAGACTGACATGAGGCCTACTGTGCTAAGAAGGCACTAATTTTATATGTTTAATATTGGACACTGCAGCTCTAAAGTGTTCTCCAATCCTGAGTTTCTCATATCAGTTGTCTCCCTCAAGGGACTTCATTTCTGCTTTATCGCTGCTCTAGACAAAGACTGAACACACAGGAGACTGAATAATTTGGTCAATTCACACGTGGACATGGATGGACAAGAGAGGGGCACACAGGAAGGGCCAGGCTGTCTGGCTCCATCCTTCACTAGAATGGGAACATCTAGGAAGCTGTTTGGACGGGGATCTGTTTGGAAGTTTCAGGACAACTAATGAGAATGTTCACATAACCTGAAAAAAAAAATTACAGCATTCCAAATAGAGAAAAATACCAACTTACATGAGCCATGATTTCAGAGTTGCAAGAAAATAGTTAGTTTTTCTCAAGGGTCATTTACTGAAGAAGCAGAGTCCACAGACAGAATCCAAAAACTGGAGGAAGAGTATGAAGCCATAAGAACAAAATCCCAGAGCCCCCAGATTTTAAAAACTCACATGACTTCTCCATTCCTACATGCAACACCCCTCCATCACAACTCCCAACACACAGACAAGTTATGAAAGGTAAGAGCTAATTTAGACAAATACATGCCCTCCCCAAAATAACAGGAAAATCACTGCACAAGGATAGACATGGAGAAGACTCTCCAGAAGAGAAGGTCATTTCCAGCTGTTTTGGCAGGAGAGATTCCGGGCAGTCCTCCACCTCAGTGAGGCTGATCTGGACTCGAGTAGGCTACCCAGACCTGTCCTGAGCAGAGATCCATCTCCCCTCATTCCCAGTTTTCCCAGCTAATAAGTGACTACACCATCTAAACCAGAATATCCTTCTCAGACTCAGGAATCTGGCTTGCCTACCCAACCCTGAAGACAGAAAATATTATAGAGAAGAATTTTCCAAACTATGCCACACATTGGAATCACCAGCAAATCTTTTTTTTTTTTTAAAGAGAACTTAAGTATATATATTTTTTTAACATTTTGTTTATTTGACTGCACCAGGTCTTAGCTGTAGCACCTGGGATCTTTGATCTTCATTGCAAGCATGCAGGATTCTTTAGTTATAGCATGCAAACTCTTAGTTGCGGCATGTGGGATCTTCTATTATAGTTCCCTGGTCAGGGATTGAACTCGGGCCCCCTACACTGGGAACACAGTCTTAGCCACTGGACCACCATGGAAGTCCATTAGCAGACCTTTATTTTTGTTTGTTTGTTTTTTTGTTTTTTTAGCAGACCTTTAAAATATACTGATGCCTGACTCCCATGCCCCAAACATTCTGATTCAATTAGCAGAGAGTTGTGACTTGGGAATCAAAATTTTTAAACTTTCCACAGGTGATCATAAAGGGCAGGTTTAGTAATCAAACTTTGTATGCATCAGAATCACCTGAAAGGCTTATTAAAATACAGTTCGCAGGGCCCTGTTCCTCAAGTTTGGCATTTACTGGAGCCAGGGTTGGACTTGAGAAATTGCATTTTGAAAATTTCCATGTTGATACTGATGCTGCTGGTCCAAATGCCACGATTTGAGAGCCACTTGTACAGACCATGCCTAGCAACCTTTATAATGGCAAAACTGTACTTGCCCACTGGGATCTCTTCCTCAAGGCTGAACCATCTTTCCCAGAATCCTCAGAGCTCACTGTTCACCACCTTCCTATTGGGAGTCATCAGTATTGTCTACATGATCCCATTTACCGATCCTATTCTCTTGGTACCCAGGCTGGGGAAAAGTGAATTTGTAAAACCTGCGTATGGATCATGAAATAACCCACTAGTTAAAACTCAATAGTAACTAAGGAGTTGCATTTAAAGGAACTGGATTAGCAGATTTTAAAAACTGATAATACTTATCACTAAGACTGGAGAAATGGACACTGGTGGTATGGTGTAAAAAGAATGAAATGATACATGGAAAATGATTATAATGAGACCAAAAAAGTCAAAATGGACTTGGAATAAGATTTTATTGTGTTACCTCTGCTGGATGGTATCCCACGTGATCTTTATTTTGTTCTTCCCAGGAGTCTCTCAATTTTTTAATCAAGAAATTTTTAATCTGTAAAAAAAAGAAAACTAACTTGTATCACTTGTACCTGGACATAAATTTAAAACAGCTCTACAAGAGATATCACAAAAAGCCCCAACAATTCCATCCCTGATATCCTTTCCCCTGTCTTCCAAATCTAGAGGCAATAATTTTCACCTTTTAGCTATTTCTTTTGTTATATAAATACCATATATTCAAATCACATGCTAATATTACTACTTCAGCTATCTTTTATCCACCCATCTCCCACTTCACGTGTGCATAATTGCATCTCCCTATCCTTCCAATATGTTTTTTTTCCCCAGTGTGGTTTTGTTCTATTAAAGGGTGCACAGATATTCAGTTTCTATGACTATGACTATTTAAATGCCATTACCAACTGAACTATATAGTATAATCAGATTATTTTGCCTTTCTTCTCTGAGTTTAAAGTGATTTTGTTTTCTGTAAGATTCATTTTCTAGGTAATTATCATTAATTTATTTCTCAAACTCTCATTCAAATGAAGGATCAGGAGAATGAAGCTTCTGGCATAAAATAACAGAACTGTCCTTCATACTCTAAGAATCCTTCAAAAATAAAGCCAAATACTTTGTTATCACTTGTATCCCGAGTTGGCAGAAGTCAATGCCATATTCCTCAACGTTCCTACCTCTGAAATCCCACACGACTTTGAAGTGAAAAGTTGGTTAAGAAACAGGACCTAGAAAGCCTGCTGAAGGAATTGTGTAGGCAGTTTTGAACATCACTCCCCAAAAACTTATTTCTTAAATACTTGATAAAACATCCACAAACAGAATAATAAAGTAATCATTAAATGCTGACTTTTAGAAAACGTAAGGAATGGCAAACATCCAAGACACATTGAAAGAAAAAAAACTCAGTTTAAAAAATATATAAAATCCATAAAAATGTTACAAAATCCATGAGAATACTGAATTCCTCTTTTTTATTAATTTTTTTCCTCTTTTTAAAAAAAATAATGAACTTCTTTTTTTATAATTTTATTTATTTATTTTTGGCTGTGCTGGGTCATCATTGCTATGAGCAGGGGCGACTCTCTTGTTGCCGAGCACAGGCTCTAGGGCACACGGGCTTCAGTAGTTGTGGCTCCCCGACTCTAGAGCACAGGCTTAATAGTTGAATATGGGCTAAGTTGCTCCACAGCATGTGAGATCTTCCTGGATCAGGGATTGAACCAATGTCTCCTGCATTGGCAGGCACACTCCTTACCACTGAGCCCCCAGGGAAGACCCCTGAATTCCTATCTTAAATGAAGAACTAGAGGTCTTGCTTTCCTTTAAATTTTCAATTAATGTTATCCTATTCAGAAATAAAACTATATACAAAACCACAAATGCTTGTTAAAATATTTTTGGGAACATATGCTCTAAATATGAATAGTGATTATTTCTGGATGTTGGGAATATGTGTGTGTATGCTTAGTCAAGTCCAATTCTTTATGACCCTATTGACTATAGTGTACCAGGCTCCTCTGTCCATGGGATTTCTCCAGGCAAAAATACAGGAGTAGATTGCCATTTCCTCCTCCAGGGGATCTTCCCAACCCAGGGATGGAACCTGCGTCTCCTGCAAGTCTCCTGAATTGCAGATGGATTCTTTACCACTGGGAAGTCCTGTTGAGGACTATAATTTTTATTTTCTTCTTCAAGGTTCCTTAGTTACTAAATATTTCACAAGCTTGCATTAAATACATTATCTGAAATTTTTAAAAAGCTATTCCCATTAAAAATAATTTTTTAATGATTTGGGTAGATGGGTAGTCATTAAGAAAACTGTGATTACATAGGCCTGCATAAGTGGTAACAACAGGGAAATCAATGTCACTGAAAAGATAATTCTTACCAGTTCTTGAATACTGTATTTCATTAAGACCCAGAAACCCTTCTGTGAAGGATCACAATGCTGATTCACGACATTTCCAAAAATCAAGAGATAGTATGCACAGCAGGCAGAAAAAAATGCTTATTTCATAGCAAATGCTCAATCATTTGAGTTGACTCCTCCTGAATAGCCAATTACTAAATCCTTGCAAAAGATCTTATTATTCCTTACCTTAGTGTTCAAGATACATAAGTAACAACAATTTCTTAAAAATTTTTATTCAGAACAATAAATACTTCCCAATATTACATTTTATATGGTTTCTTCTTATGACTTTATAATCTTTATTATCCCATAACATTCCATCATATTGATGGAGTGTGAATCACTTAACATTTCCATATTGTTAGATACTAGTTTTTTAAGATTATCCTCAAAATTATTCCTATTTATTCCAGACTTTGATGCTAGACCGGTGAAAATCAATCTTGTTGGGTCTTACACAATTCTGATATCATGAAATTACAAGTAAGCAGATTCCCCTCCCAAATTAACCACTGAAAAATATTTACAATATTTTTCTCTATATATCTTTGGTTTTTTTTCCCGGTCCTGAAAACCCATAAACAGAACCCAAAGACTTCATGTTAAGAATCCCTATTCTGGTCCATTTGCTGTTGATTTTTCTGCTTGCATTCATCATAAGTAACTTCACATTTTCATTATTCTTGGGAATAAAGAAAGTTGATAGGGAATGATTAAAAATCATCACTAACAGTAACCGCTAATATAATTAAGCAGTATTCTACTATGCTAGGTAATGTTTTAAGAGCTTCAACAGATATTAATTCAGGTAACCTTCAAAACAACCCTGTGAGGCATATACTATTATAATTCTGATTTTACATATGAAGAAACTGCAACACAGTTTTCCTTCGAGTGCCCAAACTCACTTAGATTTAAGTGATGGTCAGGATTAAAATCCTCTTAATCTAGGTTCAAAATTCTTAACCACTGCATACATCTCTGTTCCTCTATCCCTAAAAAGTGAAAGTGTTAGTCGCTCAGTCCTGTCTGATTTTTTTCCACCCACGGACTGTATTCCACCAGGTTCCTCTGTCCATGGAATTCTCCAGGCAAGAATACTGGAGTGGGTAGCCATTCCCTTCCCCAGGGGATCGCCCCAAGACATACCCAAAACAAACTCATGCTACAAAATTTCATTTATAAGATAATAAGCTCTGAAGACCTCATGCACAACATGGTTACTATAGATAATAATAATGTATTACATACTGGAAGTTTGCCAAGAGTATATCTTAAGTACTCTTGTCATACACAAAATAGTTAACCTTGAGAGGTAATGGTTAATTAGTCGGTGTGGTATTCCGTTCCATGATGTTTACATATATCAAAACATTATGCTGTACACATTAAACAATTTTTCATTTG